CCCACAGTAGACACTAAGTGGAAGGGTGCCTTCATCTTGGACTTCCGAACCACTGTAGCTAGGCAAATAAATACATTTCTATTGTTTACAAACTATCTAGATTATGGCATTTTTTGTAATAGCATCTCAGGTAGGCCAAGATGCCTCAGTAACTCTATTAGCAGGTGCTAGGCAACTGCTACTGGGACAATCATTTCTTTGCCACTTGCACTGACTTTAAGCAAGCATGGAGTTGCTTTGTGTTACAGATCAGACCTGCTCTTATCTCCTTTTTGGGTCCTTGCTGCAAGTAGTGAACCTCTGATTTTTCACTTAGGTCCTGGAAATGATCAAAATCTTTGTGCTCTGCAGAGGCAAACCAACTACATTCTGATTTTTATCTTATGCCCTTTGTTGTAGAGTAAAACTCCATTACAAGGCACCGTAATTCACTGTGTCAGCTTTTATTGTAGACTAGAATTACCTTGCTCTAATGCAAGGATGTAAATTCAGTGTCCACGAATGTTATGCTACCAAAATGATCACCCTTTTTGGATAATTTTCTAGAAGATTTCGATATTGATTAAGACAAGCCAAGATCAATTGTGTTAACATTTCACAAGCAACTCTGAATATCACACTGCTTCATTTGTTGTTAGGAAAGAAAATAGAGCAAAGAGGCGGCTCTGGATTTGATCCTGTGATCAATGTAGAAAGCATTAAAAAAGCTTAATTTTAGTGCAACATTCCAGTCATGAGTGCTTTGTGCTTTTCTTTTCTGAGCTTTAACTTTAACTAGTTATTTTAGACTGTGTTTTTTTTCTTATCCTAAAATACATAAAACCTATCAGGTACAGGTACTTTTTTTTTTTTTTCACCATTGTAAAGCACATAATGGTTTTCTGCTTGCTTAATATCTACTGAGTCTCTTATATCCAGTCCAGGTTTTTCTTCAAGAAAGTCTCTTCCTCACATTAGAGCACTGTCTGGTCAGGACTCCCAAGTGTCATGTCAATATTCCTGATGTGGGCTTATGCACCTCCAACAATCCAATTACCCATTCAGACTCTGAGAAACTTTAAGTTTGCATTGCATGGCCAGTCACACCGTCTCTGCTTCCTGACCCAGGGCCAGATACATAGCAGGAACTTATAGATGCTTATTAAGTTAAGAGGAAATTGAACAGACGATGCCAGGGGGACACTAGACAGGATTGGGGTTCCCAGGTTTCCCTTAAATGGACTATTGCCCCCTCTGCTTCATACAACCTTCCAAGTAGGCCTGTGTGCGTGGGGCCCAAGTGTGGGTGGAGAACAAGGGTGAGACTTAAAAAAGAACAGGAAGAGGAAAAAAGAAATTTGCAAGAAGGAGAATAGGCTTTTTCAGAGTCGGAGAAATGATGTATGATACACAGGATGCCACAGCACCAGCCAAGGATCACGCAGTGTGTGCATGTTGCAGTGTTGCCTGTAGGGTGGCCAGCTACTATTACTATCCCTTCTTGCCTCCTCCATTCCTTTCTCTATCTTCTCTCCTGTTTATTTTCTCATTCTTCCCAACCATCTTGTGGTCTTTCTGGAAGTCCCCACCTTTACTGATAGAAGCCTAAGAATAGCTTGACAAACGTTTAAGGGGGTTGATGCAATTCTCATCCCATTCTCCCCACTCCTCCCGAGTCTGAAAGGCCATGGAGTGGAAATAAGTCGTAAGAATGCAGGAGAGGTTCCTCACTTTGGGGATTCCTCATTTGTTCTATTTTGGATAGCATGGCAGGGGTAGTGCGGGTAGCGTGGAGGTAGGGGCAGGGGAGCCTTTTCCTTCCCACTAACTCCAGCACAGGGAAGGCTTTTACTGGCTCATTCATCCTGAAAATACAAATATAGCTATGTCTTTTTAAAATAAGGGTTAATTACTTAATTATTGAAAACAGGGTCTTCTTTAGTCTAGGAGAGCCTCAAATTCGCTATGTAGCCAACACTGGCCTTGGACTTCTGGTCCTTCTGCTCATGTACCACCTGACTAAGGTGGTGAAAGGGACTTCATGCATGCTAAGCAAGAACTACACACATACACACATGTTAGTTAGTTTTCTTCTTTTTTCTTTTGTGTGTATGTGTGTGTTTTCTCCTCCTTCATCCTATCCCAAATCTTGGCATATTACATCCTGGCTGGGGAAATGATTTAAGCACCTCAA